CTCGGACCTCATGCCTATTGTTCCCTACAAGTTGCAAAAGAAACATATGATTATTATTTAATCGAGTACCTCCCACTGTTTGTGACATTGTCCCCTTTTCGCGCAGTCACCACTACTCGCAAATCCTTCAGTAATGCCCCATTCTGACTGTAAACGCGTGATCATGCCAGACGGCATGCGACCCACAAGTTGGGAATAAACATTGTCATTATCATTATCATTGTCACCATTGCCAGTTGCATAACTCCACCGAGGCGAGCCCAACACCAGCGACGAACCTGGTCACAACACATTTCCCTATGGATCTCAACCTCCATTAAGTGCAACGTTGTTGGAAACAGGGTGAACTGTGCGGCGGTGATGCGAGGGTCATCTCTGGATGGTCCGCTTCCCGGAAACGCACAATTAGCCCGTAGATAATGCAGCTTAACTGGGTAGCTGCAAGCATCATTCCTAAAATGAATAAGATGTTCTATAAGTGGTGACCGCCAAAAAGCGCTTGCCATGATAAAGGTAGCCGTTGTCAGCCACCTCGACTACTTATCGTAACCGCTGAGTCCGTGTCTATGTGCAACGTCGATTATGGGGCCAACGACGGGCCTTATTTACGCCCGGCAGCCTAATCCAATGAACAACGACGGACCCCTATACTCATAACTCTACACGTTGCCACTCATCTTGAATACTTACTGTCACCGCTAGGCACGCGTCTATGTGCGACGCTGACTCTAAGACCTCGCCTCTGCACAGTGACATAATCCAATGGCCAACGACGGTCCTTCATATCCACACCTATACGTGATACCGCTTATCTTTGCTACCTGTAGTGAACACCAGGCCAGTATCCGTGCGTGATTGTAAAAACAGGGCCTGAACTACAGTGAGAGCCAAATAATACTTATTTCTGTACTCCATGTAGCCTCACCCAGTTACTTATCGTACCTGATAGGCCCGTATCCATGTGCGGCGTTGATTAACCGCTAACCTAATCCAAACCAATCTGTCGTGCTCGTAAATGTACGCATTGTCGCTTATCTCTGTTAAATATGGTAAACACCGGGCAGTATTTATAGGAACCGATGGAAACAAGGCCTTAACTATACACACGTACCCAATCCACTGGAAAACGACGGAACCAACATTAATAACTGTACGCGATATCGCCTACCTCGACTAATTTTTGAAACTGCCAGGCCAGTGCCTGAATGTGACACTGATTATTAGGCCTTAACTGTGCGCGGTGTCCTAATCTAACTGCCAACATTGACCCTTCACTCTCTCATAACTGTGCGCACCTTCGCTCTGCTACCTGTAGCAAACACCAGGCAAGTAGCTATGCAAGCTGATAAAAATAAGGCTCTAAATATGTGTGATATCATAATATAGCGGCCGGTGGCCAGCTATACTCGCAACTGTAGGCGATATCGCCTACTTTAGCTGCTTGTCGTAATTGCTAAACCTGTGTTCTATGTGTAACGCTGAGTATGAGGCCTTGACTGTGCCCATTAGCGTAGCCAAATGGTCAGCGACGGTCCACCATATTCGTAACTGTACTCGATGTCACCTTCTGAGGCCTCTTATAGGAACTTCCTGGCCCGTGCACATGCTCGTAGCCAACTATAGTGCCCCAAGCATGCGTAATAGACTGATCGGGCAACCAACGACGATCCTCCATATCCATAAGTCGTCCATCTGCCAAACGCACTTCCAAAAATGCACAACCACCTTTAGCAACTCATATTCCTATTTAGTGGTTGCACCGGTACTAACATAATGTGTGGTTAATCCACTGCTCAGATTTTTAGTCGACAGGGTTTCTGAAAAAAATGTGTAATCAGTTACGACTCGTTCACATCATCCGCGATACCCTTTAAATTAAACAAAGTTCTTAAGAAAGCTCTTTGTCCACAAGCCCCGGGCGGTGCTGCGTCGAACCTGAAGAATAACTGTTATAAAGCTAAGCTCACTACTTGCTCAATTAAACTAATTGGTGATAACGAGGTTGGCTTGTGTAAATCGATGATTCGATAGCGGGATTCGGAAAACATATGCATTACTGGACGCAGAGAAGTTAAAGCTAAAGTGCAGTGTATAGTTAACAGTCGTGAGGCCAAGTGGAGTAGGGTTGAGCCCCAGGATCCAGGGGACACACGCATCCCCAAACGTGCACCCATGTAGGCGGCCGTAGCAAAGATCTAGTGAGTGGGCGGGTGCTTGATGTCACTCTTCGCTTCAGAAACCATGTCAACTATATCTGAATAAATGAGCCAGTGAGATAGCCGAACCTAATGCGATACAACTGTCTCAGAAAATGAAAATGATCCATATGTGCTTCAAATTAGCAAAGGCGACCCGAGGGTTGCAGTTTCGTGCATTGTCCTCACCTGTCACACTACAATGAAAACCAATGCAACTTCAAATGTGTATAAAACGCTGCACCACACTACCTCTCCAGACGGATCAGAAAAATACCTGCAATTTTATATACTCTTCAATCTACCTCTGAGAATTTCCTCGGCAGCCAAAAATATCCTCATCACAGAATTGCACATCCCAGCCAAATTATCTCAAAATGACGTCCGTTACAGGGTTGACCAGAACCCGAAGCATTTCAGTGCAATGATATCATGACACTGCTATACCCAGTTTGATAGCACACCCGCAACTGCGCACTCCCCTTGTTCCATTACGTGCAACCGCGAACAAACTCATGTTTTATTCCGAGTGTAATCTTTTGATCATGATTGACGGTACGCCACATACCCTTTGAAATAAACACCATTATGTTAACGTGATACTGTGTGTACAAATTACACACTAAATGATTACATAATTATCATAATCAACGATAGAAGAGCAAGAGATGCTACCAGAGGCTCACCAAATACACTTGATATGACACCCCGGACGCAGCTGGTTTTGCAAGGCTCCACGCTATTCCTCAGGCTGTAAAAGTTCCATTCTGAAGCCAACTCATCGTACAAACACGAAGCAACACCAAGTATCTCTGATCTCATATCTCTACAAGCTCTGAGCCACGTTGATTGCGCACAATCTAGTCAATGCAAGTACCCCATAATCACATATGCCAACTCTAGTTCGCATCGATCGCATGCCTTAATGTCGATTACCGCTTTTAAACCTGGCAGCGTCGCGCCATTGAGGCGGTCAAACTTTGTGATAACTTGAGTTTCGATAATTTCGGGAGGTATTCTAACTCACACCAAAGTGCTTTCTAGCAAACCTTTCGGAAATTTACCCTTTTTTGAGGCCCGAATATGGGCATGGCTGTCTTATCACCTCGCCTGAATGGCAGCAATGAACTACCGCGAGCTCTCGATAGACCGAAGACTATCCTAACTAAAATGATAACCATAAAAGACTCATCCAAGATGCTCATGTACGGGGCACAAACCGAAGTACGGCGCCGCGATGGCGGTACCGCGACCACCATTCCCAGTCTGATAGCTTCCCGTAGATCACTATATCTCTAATATTTCCCAGACAAGCATGTCACCTCCAAGACCAATTCAGTCCGTTTAATTTGTGCAAGGGCTTATGATCAGTGTCCATCTTATTGTGTCGTCTGCCCGTTCTGCCCACAAAGCCAAAATTTCACCCAACGGCAGTCTTGGTGGCTCGGTATATCGGTGAAGTCAACTCTTGCCTTAAGACAGATCTAACATATGCTGACTACCAAAATAAAACTTACTAGCTGTGACGAATTCCTAGGCTTCGGCGGGACGCTTTCCGAAACCATGGAAGAATTTTCCATATCCAGGTGGCGAATGAACTCTCTAGTTTGAGTTTGCGCCGACAGCTTAGGCGTGATTATTGTCTACGTCGTTGTGAGATTATTTTTAAATCCAATACGTGAGAAAACATGCGAAAAACGAGCTTTTCCTTGAAATTTCCCACCGCTTTCGTAGAGACAATTTTCCAAACCACCACTAGCCAGTAAGACACAAATTCCGCCGCCACAGTGGACTACGAGCTTGTTTAAACAACTTCTGATAAAACTGCGGCCACATGGGTTGATCTAAAGGGTCCGAATAATTACAATTAAAACACAATTTACTGTTTTCTTTTTGCAAGCCGTTATTTCAGAGAAAGTTTGGGTTTGCCTCTAGGACGCGACTTGCCTTGACGCCATTCACCGGGAATAAGTCACAATCAATTTCGCCGAAACTACGATGTTTTCTAAGTTTCCAATTTTAGAGAGGAGCTGTTCTAATTCAGGTGCACGCTTTAGCGCTGTTGCTCATGCAAGCGAAGTTTCAAGGTCACCGACCAACGCCGATCCTCATGTCGCTACCAATGCACGAGAAGAAGCACGAAAGGAAATATTAACAGATTTAACGCAATGCAGCATTCTTCAGATGGGATACCACATCTACGTGCTGTCCAATGTAAAATCCACCCGGGTGGCTAGCATAACGTTTTTATGCCTTATGTTCGTCAGACGTAACAAATTAGATGAGTATGTTCGCTTTGCTTTGGCACACACTGCTTGTTTTGGAGCTTGCCTTGCAGTGAATGTCAATATTGCCACAACCTTTTGGTTTCCCTTTTCCGTCCCAAATTCCAAATGTTTTTTCTTGTTCAATCTACCCCACTGAACCCGCTTTCAGTAGTAACATTTCGTCAAAATTGTCCATATCCTTTGAGCGATCTGACCCATCTAAGTGTCGGCGTACGCCTGTGAGACTCTGGTTTGGATTTACTCAACTAAACAATCAGTCGTTGCAATTACCCTCGTTTCTGCTGAAGGTTACTCAGCGACATTTGAAAGCGGAATTCAGATAAACAGTGCGTGCATAGCAGAGGGCAGAACCTGACAGAAGTCAAGATTTTGGAGCGCCAGGTTTGGGTTTTCAGTTTTACCAGGTATTTGGCGTGAATGGTTTAAGGAGCTGATGGTGCGTTCAGATAGATGCCGAAGGACGGCCAGATTTGCCGATTAGAATTGGGTGGTTTATTTGGGGGACTGAGATACGGCAGTAGATTTTCACGGTACACTTCAAAGTCCGGGAAGAATCTTCGGGGCGATCTGAATTTGAGGATGAGGAAGTTCCATGATTGCCGCTTTGACGGTGAATTTTTTCTATGTCCGTCGAAGCAGCCATGGGGGTGAGAAATAGCACAGG